ATAGCATTGCAGATGAAACAGAACTCGACACTGACACCTCTACCACCTAACATGAATGAAGCATTTGTCCTCTTCACCAAAAGAAGTACCAAGGTCTTGTAGTCCAGTACAACTAAGTTTGATAACAGAAATGGGAAAGCAAAAGTTAACATGCTAAACTTTCCAGGAAATTAATCTCCAATGTATCTAAAGAAAAGGGTAGTCAAATCAATTTCTGACGTAAAATAGTAATAAATTCCAGGTTTTATTTCTTGCTGCTGCAGTTAAACCTTGAACATGTTTTACAATATAAAAAAACTCTTAATTTACTATAGTTTGACTACTGCTTCAATCTAGTTCTAGTCAGACTACCAAGTGGGTAGAAACACAATAAATTGCTATAAATAGTATCATGAACAAGAAGTTGACTTTTAAAGCAAATTCCAAGACTAACATTGATTCTTACCCAGAAATTCAACGGTGTAATGTCTACCATCAACTGTCATTCTTTCTTCCTTTAATATTTTCTTCTGGTGGTTGATGTCCTCAAAAAGAATCTTGAGGTTGTCTCTGTCAACAAACAAAAATCAAAAATCTATACAGTCATTGTTATATTTAGTGCATTAAAGCCAAATTAGGGATATTGATATCAATCCACTTAGATCTCAGAGTGGATGCATGACCTGGTGATATTGCAACTGAGTGGGGCTTACAAAAATCTGTCATTGTGTTATTTAAGTTAAATGCACATACAACCACAAGCATATTCTAGCCAGAAGGTAGTAAAGAGTTCAAGCAAGTTGCAATTCACAAACCTGTCTTCTTTACAGTTGGCAATTGTCAATGGGTAGACTGATTTTGCACTTTGCTGGCTATATACAGCACCATCACGGGGAACAATTCCAAACAACACCTGAGCTCTACCTGCAAAACAATTTTTACACTAAATTAGTCAAGACAAAAACTGCACCCTTCACCAACCCATTTCACCTTACACATTATTATAATGACCACCTTCCATACAAAGAACTGCTTGCAAGGCCAAAAAATTTAACAGTTATAGTTATTTTGATTTGGAAGTACAACACACACACAAAAAAAAAAATATGTGGATGATTATCATAAGTGGGGAACGACCTTTTATAACAATAATAATAAAATAATTTACAGACAAAACTGCAGAGACAGCATGCATTATCACATAATTTTACCCCAAAATGGTCTCCCATCAAGCTTCATCATCAGTCACAAAGCATGTGAAGACAGCTGGTGCAGCCTTTGTTCCCTTACGACTAACTCCACAACAGAACTCAAATTCACAGAGAAACCTTGTATAGGAGGAGCCACCTTCTTAACCCCCATATACTCCTTACAAGCTCCAAAAACCATCTTCTTAGCTGCCTTGATCTGGTTTAAGTTGAGGAGGAGAGGCATGTGAGAGGATTTCTAAGAAAATAATAGAAAGCAAGGTGATAAAAAGCAAAGATTAAACTTTTTAATCTAGGTTGATTCTTTGTTTTCTTTGTCTCCTACTAGTCCTAGGAAACAAAGGAAACAGAGAATCAACCTCTGTAGGTTAAAAAATCTTCCCTTGAACATAATTTTGACCTGTAACAATAACATTGCTACAGTCAGCAAGGGTCTTTGTGACCATTTTATGAGAAACTTTTATCACTTTGCCAGCCCTATGTTCTTCAAATTTGAAAAAATGAGTTAAAGTACTGCTTTTACCGTTAAAGCACCGCTTATTTTCCTCATATATATTTTTGAGTTCTTGATGAATAAAGCTCTACCAGTTCAAACAGCATCTATCAACAGAATTTCATGAGAAAAAACTTTAAAGGTTATATTTTAAATTTACACTTGGTGTCATGAAATATTAATAGGAAGTAGGGCGATGACCTTCTATATTAATGGTCCAGGGTTTGTCACTAAGAGCCGGCTTCGAGCATATTTCACCAGCTGAAAAAGAGCTTACCACTGGCTCAAATTGCTCTGGAAAACAGACATTGGGTAATTTTGAAGACGCAGTTGAGTAAAACGCCCGCTTAAGTAATAAAAAAAAAGCCTGCTTATCTTTTCCTGTACTAGGCTTCGCTTACGAGAATAACTGAATAAAACAAAAGAAAGAGCTGCTATAAACATTGAGGCTCGCGATGGAATAGTTCTTTTTTTGTTCTTTTATTCCCTTAGCCGGGGCGCCAAGTATGAATATTAATATACCGACGTAAGACCAACGTAACTAAACATCTTACCCCCGTCCTTCTGAGCCCTGTGATGTTTATCACGGATTGCCACGTTTTCGAAGAAACTCTCGCCATCGCCTGGAAAAGGACAAGCTTCCAATCAGGAACTCTCAGGCACGCCACGTACTTCGACATTGTGTCGTCGCCAACTAGCTCTTCCGCACTCCTCTTTACTTCCCTTTTTACAGCCATCTCTTCGACAATTTCATTGACGATGGCCTTCGCTTCTGGGTCGCCAAATGCGCACATGTTCGAAAGCACCATCGCCAAACTTTCCCTGTTTCTTTCGCACACGTCATGCACGTCCTTGATGACTCGACTGCTTCGCTGCTTCATCAACAGCACCTTTTCTGGAGTATCCAAATCTTCCTTTTCGCTGATCTCCTTTAGATTCTGGGAAACATTCTTTTTTTCAGCTCTTTACGAGTTTCCACTGTTTGGGGGTGTCATGGCCACAGATGATGTCTTGTGCGTTGGTGTCGTTGGCATTTCCAAGCATCGTGAAGCACGTGGTCGTTCTTTGTTTGCTTGGCCTTCATTTTCTTCGTCGATAGACATTTCACTGAGATCTACTGAGTTCAGCAAATCTCTCAGCTGCAAAATGAACTCAGAGCTTTCTGAAGAAGAACGGCGAAGCAGAGTGGTTATCAACCCAAACGAGGAACAGACAATTTCCGTTGCATTAGAGGACTTCTTGTTCGAGTAATGGTGGCCATCTAGCAGCCGAATGTGGGCACTGTCGATTCTTTGAAAAACGCTTGGAAAACTGGCGACAACAGGCGACCGCTTAAAGTATTGCGTCGGCGTTGATCCACAAACTTTCGAACTTAGAATGAACCAAGTCAATTGTGGGCTTAATTCAGGGCTGATGACCGGAGTGAAGGGCGAGAAATCTTTCCTAGGTGCCATCTCTACTGCTACTGAATCACGCGCTTGAAATACGAAACTGCAAAGAAAAGATAGGCGGACAAAAACCATGACATTGGAATATCGACATAGTAACATTATCCAGCTGCTAACTCGAGAGTGCTGATAATTTAAGCTAGTCGGCCCATGACATATTTAATGAGATTAAATCAAATTAACTTCGGGATTATCACACCTGAAAAAGACGAGCCCAGCGGGCCTAATACTTACAGTGCAAAGCACTTGTGTCTTCTCATGACAAAACGAAACAATTACAACGGAAAGACCCAAATTGGCGTAGAAAGAAATAATGCTGCAAATTACCATTTTTTTATGTCATGGGTACATGTTTCCGTGTGAATTTCTGTGTCAACAGCTTGCTGTCACTCACAAAGTCTTCGTGATTCTCGCTGGTCCTCGTTATGTTTAGCGCATGGACGATTCGAAGACCCTTCAAATTTGGTTTTTAAGTTGATCATAGCACTAATCTGAAACATTTGAAGTCCATTTCAATATAGTAAATGTCGAAACAGGCGTGTAAAGACAATAAATATCGCAACGATCAGTGCAATCATAATAGCGCCAGGACTTTGGACTTACTTCTTCGGAAGGATAGATCTCGAGTTCGAAGCCGACTAATTACGAAGAGTCCACGCTAATTTGCATATCGCAGAGCGCCCACAAGAACTCGTTTCTACGCTATCGTGTATCCACGAGTTAAACAGTAGTAGCAGAAATTTTTTCAATTTTTTTTCAATGACTGTTACGAAAATATTTACTGCTCCAAGTATTTCCAGTATTGCCGTATAAACAAATAAATAGCCTAAGCCACCAAGAGGTAATTTAATTGTTGAAGACGATTACCAAACGTTCAAAAACACGCCAAAAAGCTTCCAGGGAGGGAGGGAAAGGCATATTGCTTGATAAAAGTATAAGTTAATACCCCAGATCTCTCCTGTGAATCTGTATTTGTTCAAATAATTCCCGCACAAAAATTACTATTCAGGCTGTTGATTTCAGGCCTAATATCACCCCTGTAGTACAGTTGACTCACGGTGAGCGACAGGTTTGCTTCCGCTCAAAAACCCCTTGCAAACACTTTGTCAATGAAATCCCACACAAGTACGCATTGCGGACCTATTTTTCATCATTTGTGGTCATTTCGATCATGGCTGCCTTAAAAGTTCTGCACGAAGTCACTGTATGTATTTGGAAAGGAGAGGAAAAACTCGTAATGAAATGGTCATTCCTGACCAAAGTTGAAAATAAGGACCTCAAGTCATTTCTTCAGGCCTTAAGTGTCAGAAATAGGATACTTAGTACTGATTTAAGCTTATTTTGATGTAATGACTGTGAAGTATCGGCCCAGAAATCGAGCGTCACGTTCTGTCTACTCTGAGGAATAGCTTTGTTTCTCTTTTGTCTGAAAGATCTTTATAGCCAATCAGCTTACGTTTAATCAAGGTGTGTCCGGCCATAAAATAGGAGAACAATTGATTGTAGTTTTAGTCAGTCTGAGATATAGCCTTGTTATATCTCAGACTGGTAAATTTTCCGTGGTAAATTTTCCCTGACTCAATGTAAAATTTCCAGACTTTTCCCTGACCTGTGGCAACCATGATTAAGTAAAGTATTATCTTTATAGTGGTGACTTGTGAGATAAAACTACTGATAAAACAAAAATAGCAATTAAAAAAAAATTTAATCGGTGACTCGTCTAGAGAGCCGGCAAAGATCAAAGATGAAAACAACGGTGCTCCTTGATAAGATCCATGGGAGGTTCCCGACCAAACATAATCTTTTGGTTTAGTGGTTCCACAGTGTGACTGAACAAACCAAAAGCAGCTTTTGCCAATAAGTTACCTAGAAATGAGTGGAATACTGTCAAACGATGAGAAAAGCAAGATCCAAAAATCTAACGAAGACCGCAAACTGCAAAAAAAAAAAGTTGGGTTTTATCACTATACAGCCTTACTAACTATGCTATAAATATGTTATGTTTGATCAGTTTCCAAACAGATCAATCATTTTAAATAGCCAATTAAACTATTGTATGCGAAGAAAGATAGTATGTCTACCTTAGCTTAAGAGAAATTTTCCACAGGGTTGACTTCTTTACTATAATTCTTCAAATGATAAATGAAAAGACGATATTTACTTATCTATTTACTCATTTTTGGGATATGCTTACTGATAGTAAACGATCTCAAGCACTTAAAGGAAGTTTCAGTGTTTTAATTGATTATGTAGGCCACTCATTAAGTTTTAAATTAGCTTAAGTTTAGTCCCGCATTCTTGTAATTTAAGGAATGGGTGGTACCGTTAATTCCCCCCCTCCCCTTCCCCCTCCCACTCCAAAACTGTTCTCAGTTGCTCCTTATAATCTTAAAAATTAAGATTAGTTTTATTCTGTAAACGAGTTTGTAATTTTAAAATGTATGTCCCTTTTCAGTTTGGCCCGATCGTGTCTGGAACAGTACAGAACATGTAAAAGAAGGGAGACTTTGATTGCATGACAAGGACTCAATTTCTCGAAGGAAGTCGTGGTATTTTAATCAAGAAACCTCTCGAACGTGATGCTTTTGATAAGTGTCATTCCTAAATAATAGACACGTGGTTTGCTTTTCCTTGAAGGTCACTATAAAAGAAGAGGTGAAACATTTTTGTTGCACATTGAAAGAAATCTTTGTTCAGATTGTCGCCTTTCTGAATCCTCTAAAACAATGAAGTTTGCACTCGTGGTTCCAATACTGCTAAAGCTTTTTCTTGCCACTGACGCTTGTACCGAGATTCGAGTGATCGCCGAGGACAAAACAGTCATAGTCGGGCGGAGCATGGAGTTTATTATGGATCTTTCGTCGCATGTCGTGGTGGAGCCCAAGGATTACCCCCACACTGCAGAACTGCCAAAGACTTGTTTCCGTAGTTCACCAGCAATAACCTGGACCAACAGCTACAAGATCGCTTACATTGACGCTTGGAATTTGCCTTATGCAACTGATGGCCAAAATGACGCTGGACTTTCCGTTGGTGCACTCATGTTTCCTGTTTTTGCCAAATATCAGGTTGTCCCCCAGGACAAGTGCGGCTCGGCCATTTCCAACTCGCAGTTCCTGTCATGGATTCTAGGCAACTTCGCAACTGCTGAAGAGGTGCGAATGGCTTGGAAAAAGGACTCATTTCCACTTGTGTGGGGACAATCTATGAACGGGTTCATCTCCGAATTGCACTGGTCCATCACCGACAAAAGTGGTGACGGCATCGTCATTGAGTACACCGAACAGGGACCAAAGCTGCACGAAAATACAATTGGTGTCGTGACCAACTCTCCACCCTATGACTTCCAAATGCTGAACCTCCGCAATTACGTCCAGCTTTCCAAGTTCGCTCATGATCCTTTGGTATTAGGTGAAACAACGTTCCCACCCACTGGCCAAGGAAATGGACTTCTTGGTGTCCCAGGAGATCTCACTCCTCCATCGAGACTGGTACGTTCTGCAGCCATGGTGCACTTTGCTGATACTGCCAAGAAAAGTGATGAGGCGGTGAATTTGGCTTTCCACATCATGAACACTGTTGATATTCCTCGCGGAGTCGCCGCATCCCATGATCATCCAGATATGCCTGACTACACTTCTTGGGTTGTGGTCAAGGACCTCACCAACAAGGCAATGTACTTTCGCAGTTATGAAGATCTCACCATCCGCGTGATTCATCTAGACAAAGTGACCCCTGGCAAGAAGTTGAAACTCAAGTTTGGAAACTCTATTGGCGGGTTTGTGGATGTCACCGGAGATCTTGAGGATGCTCAGGTGCATACTGAACTTTAAGGAGCTTTTAGTTTAAGCATCCTATTCAGTTAAGTAAATTGCATAAGGCATATGAATTGTGATGCATAGGTGTTTTCAAGGCGATCCTAAGTTGATTTCTTAAATGTAATTTTTGTCGTTTTGAAATAAAAGTCCTTATCATTGTTAGGGTGTTAAGTAGACTTTTTCAGCTAAAAGGAAATAGTAAAATAGTATTACTTGGTAACGATAATAATAATAATAATAATAATAATAATAATAATAATAATTTTATCAATAATGATGGTAACGTTTTAATCCAGAGTTATGACTTCAGTCATTTTTAATAAAAACATGATTGATATGTTCATGCTAATTCATGCGATTTTCCCAGTTTGGTTGGTTTTAGTTTTGTATTTGATTGGGTAAGAGGATAGTACAAATTTTCTCAGCCAGTCATGTACAACAGTGACACAAAGACCACTAACCCTTAACACCCTAAAAGTTATCATGTGATGGCTCTCAATACTGGTATCATGGGAAACTGCAGTGGATGCATATCCAGGGGATAAAAAATTCGAGCCAAAACTGAATACTTTCTCAAACAACCCCTGTCAGAGGATGATAGAAATATTTGTTTATGTCTCGATTTCAGCCTGTGTAAACACCACACGATTTACTTGAGGCCAGGAAAGCTTAACGATACGGGCGGCCCATTTCAAAGGAAGGTTCTCGTATGAAAGAGTTCTTTGCATTTTTATTCAAAGGGGTTTAGTTGAGGAGAGAAATTTTCCTATTACCTCTCGATCACCCTCGGACACAATTTATTACGCACTACAGAACTACGCATCCAAATAATCAAGTTGATTCTTTCTCCTGATTGGATGGGCAATGCTCCATGCATATGTTGACCTCTGTGAAGAAGTCCGTAACTTGTTACATGTTCACACTGGGTACATTCTGTATCTCTCAGGGGGACCTAAAAAGGCCCAAGGGTAAATTAAAACTACTACTTGTTTATGTAAGGTGTCCCATTTGTTGTTTTACCTCCCAAAGGTTAACCCATGCAATCCACTATTTTTTGACAACAAAGTCAGCTTCGCGAGTCAAAAAATCAGCGAAAATAAATTATGTTAGCGCGGCGCGCGGAACTTTGAATCTGAGATTCAGGCGCACAAAAAGTAGCACTTTTTGCGCGCCTCACTCCCGAAGCCTCACGCTAAGGACTTCACCGAAATGGGGGGGGGACTGCTTGTAGTGCCATAATTCCGAGGTTTCCAGTCTACAGAGTAGGTATGATTTTGGCGAGCGAGTGCTCAGTGTTTTCTTGGTGAGAATTACAGCTCCTTTCTTTGATTTTTACAGCAGTGGAAGGCTCGGGGAAATTTGTTCCAAGGGGATCTTAATCAAAACATGGTCAGTCGAGTAAACAATCACAAGCTTGTAACGTTAACTCACCCTAATAAGATGCTTGCACTTCAGGCTAGTTTCCTTCAATCTAGAGGTAGTTTTTCAGTGTCACAAAAGTGACACAATTCAATTTCATTGCTAGAAATACCCAAAAAGCATTAAATGTATGGCAATTCCTGAAAATTTGAAATTTTTGCGTCAAAAATACAATAGATTACCTGTCTCATATCACCAAAAAACAACTCTCCTCCAACAAACTCCTTACCAAGTGAAACATTTAAAGTGACCTCAGCGTTATCATAGTGATAACTGAGGTCCAGATCTTCTCCTATCTTGTAATGTACTGTGAATGCCTTGTGTGAATCTAAGGTGTTGCCCCCACATTCAGGATACAACAATCTTGTGATTGGCATCAAGTAATTTGTTCTCAGAGGTGAAAAAAAATTCTCATCAAAACCAAGCTCATTCAGTAAAACCTGAAAATAAAAAATTAGAGTCTAAAAGATTTTAAAACATCAAAAAGTGATCCTCAAAGGATACTCAAAAATTTTCAAGGGGAATAACTGTAACAATGAGTGTAGGTTAAAAAAGCTTACTTTAATATTCCAATATAAACCAAGCAGTTACATGTTCAAAAGCTATGCATGACTCACAACCCCAGATGCACATCTGGAGGATATTACACAGCTGCACGGGGATACGAATTTTATCTTTGAGTGCTGAAAGTATCTCTTACGAGTGAGTGAAGGGACACTGATGAAATTCCTGATGCGGGAAGCTCTCTTGTAATTGGGTAATCATGTTAGTAACCATAGCGACACCAATATCCTCACACGTGATAGATAAAAATAGTATCTTCACCGTGCACAATGAAGATATAATTGTTTAGTAAAAGGAAAAATCCTGGTATTTCATCAGTATCTATATAATAAATTATTATTAGAACATGAAGAGCACTCTCATTGGGATTAGTTCATGTGCATGTGCATGTGCATGGGTTCACCACTTATATATTTATAGCCCAGTAATTTAAGCCTGCACACCTCCAACAATATTTAATTACAGAAACCTTGAGCTACTTTGAAAAGCAATAGGAAACAATTTTCTGTAAGCTTTAAGATTCCTGGAGATATTTGATAACTGCTGAATTCAAGACTCTCCAAACATCTTGTTAAACCTATATCTATAGGCCAGCATCAGTATACATATTCTCCATGTTGTTTTCTGTACTTTTCCTTTGGTACTGACGGGAGAATTTGAAAATCAGTCAAGAGCTTCTTTAGTTGCTTATCATTTCCGTATTCTCATGACCTTACTTGATTCCACACACAGAAAATTTAACCAATGAGGCTGCAAATCTACAACATCCTGTTTTCCTTTTCCCTTAACTTGACAACTACTGCATGTATTTTATTACTTTAACTTTCTAGTAATTTATCTTTGAAAACAAATGACAAAAATCTCACCCCAAAGTTGTTCATCGTGTTTGGCCTTCCCTTGGGGAGATCTGTGTTTTCAAAGTTGCTTATTTCTTCAATAAACTTCTTACAAAATTCTGGTGTAAATACTTGAAATGAGTAGACTTTTTCAGCTAAAAGGAAATAGTAAAATAGTATTACTAGGTTTTATTTCCAATAATAATAATAATTATAATAATAATAATAATTATAATAATTATAATAATTATAATAATTATAATAATTATAATAATTATAATAATTATAATAATTATAATAATTATAATAATTTTATCAATAATCATCATAATGTTTTAATCCAGAGTTATGACTTCAGTCATTTTTAATAAAAACATGATTGATATGTTCATGCTACTTCATGCAATTTTCCAAGTTTGGTTGGTTTTAGTTTTGTATCTGATTGGGTAAGAGGATAGTACAAGTTTTCTCAGCCAGTCATGTACAACAGCGACACAAAGACCACTAACCCTTTACACCCTAACATCAGTATGCATATTCTCCATACTGTTCTCTACACATTTCCCAAGGTGCTGACAAGGAGAATTTGTTTAACAATCAAGAACTCCTTAAGTTGGTGATCATTTTCTCTATTCTCGTGGCCTTACTTCACAAATCATAGGTGATATTGTAGAGAGAAATTGTATGCTTATCACTCTCAGGGTTTAAAGGGTTAATGCAATCAAAGATTACTTTGGACACCCCAGTGGAAGTAGTCTATTGTTTCTTTTGAGAAGATGCTCCTTGCCAAGGGTTGTTGCAGTTTTTGCTCATCAAAGTTTCTAGAGAAGTAGAAACTTTTACTTACCGTCACAATGTTTTATCATGGATAGCAATCCATCAGCTGTGGCTGTCACATCATCTCTAGCATAACGCACCAATGAAAGAAAATTATCAGCAAGAAATGATTCCTGATTGAGCAGAAGTAGAAATACAGATGTGAGTGAGTACAATTCCATGTTATATGTGTAGGCATTTGTATCTCTGGACCTACATCATGGTGGCAAGAAATACATTATATAAATACAGACATACAGACTAGTATCCTGTAAGGATGAAATTATTATTGTATCAAAAGTAACTGTGGTTAAAAATAACAGACAAATATAAACATTCTTCCTGAGGAGGAGGAGGTAGGGGATTGTAGATAGACAGTTGCTGAATGTTCTAATATGTGTGCACAGATCCCTTATCCCGAGCAAGATAAGGGCAGGTGACCAAATATAACAAAGAACTGAGTAGAATATCACAGAGAGTCCAATAAAACAAATATGAAGTAAATTGAGATTGGTTCCCAGCATGATATTTGTAACCTAACACCAATCAACAAATAATTCATTGACCTGTAAAATGTACACATCAGGATGAAGTGGTTTATAATCAGTGATGATGATCTTTTTACGCCTCTGTGAATCTCTTCCAAGCTTCTTTCTTCTTTCTATTTCATCTTCTACCTATGCATTGAAAATTTCGTAATTAAAGCAGTTCCAATTATGAATTCTCACTGGATTACAAATAATTTCCTAGATATTTTTAGTAATTGTAGTGAGCCAGCTCCATATTCCATCTTAATTAATTTAAACCTAACATTGAGCATGGACCCTCTCAATTTTTTTTAAAATATAAAAAAAAGAGATCTATGTATTGTACACATAGCCTGCACATCAGAATTTCTCAGAGCCCTATAACCCGTCAAGTCACCCATCGTATTTTCTTAGGTAGTATCAGTGCCATTGCCTAAGTAATCTTCCGAAAAATGCAAGTTAGCGTATACAAAAAGTTAATAAAGGGAGTAAGTTTCTAAAGAAACCGTGGTGCAATGCGTCGTTAAGAGAGTGTAACAGGTAATTTAGTGTTAACCACCGTAAAGAGTGTAAAGACTGACGTTTCGAGCGTTAGCCCTTCGTCAGCCTTTACACTCTGTACTATACAAATAGTTACATCCGAAAAAAAAATTTACTACTGAAACAAATGCATTTGAATTACTTGCTTAAGCACTTCTTGCCACTGTTCGTCCGTTGTACAGCCTCTGTGATAAAGTGCCTTTCAAGTAAAAAGAAAATAAAAAAGGAAAATAAAAAAATTATAAAAATAAAAAATAAATAAATAAACTTAAAATTTGTGACAAAACAAAGATATCCAAGAAACCCAAGATCAGTCTTAATTTCCACGTACCTTCCGATACTCGTTCTCGAATTGAACTTTACTTTTGCAGGTAACGTGAGCTTCGTAGTCATTCAGAAAAATATTATGGGTGAAAAAACACTGACAGACGAAATGTTCAGGTTCGTCCGCCATGTTGAACCGTGAGACACGCTAGCTTGGTACCTAGTGACTTATTTTCTGCTAGAAGCGTTGCATCATGGATTATTTCTTGTAACCAAAGCAAATATGGCGTCCCAGTGAGGCACATTTGTCTTCGAGAGATTTTAATGTTTGATTGTTTGAAAATAAGTCCATGCCTTAATAACATTACTTACGAAGTATTCGGCAGCTCTCGCGTCTTGTATCTTCTCCTGATCGCTAAGGAAAGATTCGTTGTTGATTGTGTATGTCGAAGTGGTCTTGACTTATTAATTTCGACTACTTAACATGAGAGTATGTCTGCAACAATTCTTTCAATTTGTTCAACTTTGAAGAGGATAGCTTGCGGTGATGTTGGCGTAAAATTTGCTTAGCTTTAATCTGAAGGAACAAATACTGGAAAAGGAACGTATCGAGTACAATCAACACGTCGATCAAGTTTTCACATCAAAAAGTTAAATTGACAGATCTAATTTGGTCTTTTTTATTAAAAAAAAATCTACTTTGGTTTCAATCGAGATTTATTCCACTTTTACGTGAGGAACTACGCTTCTTGGTGAAGCGTTCGGTATAATGGCACATCTACTTGGAAGTGAAGCTTGTTTAGAGAGCTTGAAACAAGACGTCAATGACGTGCAAACGACAGTAATGGATTTATTATCCAGAGTAGGACATTTAAGAAGTCCATCATGGAAATATCCCGATAAGGTAGCATGTGAATTGGATATTGATGAACTACTGGAGAGATATTCATATTCCAGTGATGAAGATCACTGTAAACTGTCACACATCATTCTTTTTGAACTTCTGATTGACAGGTATTTTTTATACAATTAATATTTTATAATAACTATGCGTACATTTTGATTGGTTCCTACTTATACTGTATTGGACAACAGAGGCATAAGTGACATCACAATTGGTAACATTTCCTTTTTATCTTATAAAACAAATTTCAATGTTGCTAAGGGTCTGTAATAGATCACAGTGGACGTCAAATGTGGTAGGAACATCAATGACACACTCGCATGCAACTCATGTGCCACTTTTGTTGTTCCTACCATATTTTGACATCACCTGTGATCTATTACTGTAAAGATGCACAGCAATGTGAAATCTGTATGGTAGCATTTGTTTAGATTTAAAATTCAATATTTAGAATCTTTTTCTTATTGAGATTTCTGGGTGGATTTAGGCTTTGGGCACAAACAGTCCATAGGTTTTGAGGGTGACAGTGGTTGGAAATACCTTAGGGTGTGGAAATTAAATTTGAGCAGATTTAAGCTAGTTTCCCTTTTAAACAGTCCGAACTCATGTTTCATCAAAATGTTATTCTGATGAAGACTTTTGCTTCCTAGGTTATTGTTATTATAGATATAGGTTAGCTTGTAGTTTTTAGCCCCCACTATTTATATTATTTATGCTAAAATTGATAAATGTGGTAACAATGATAATAATTATGTTATTATTACTATTATTATTGTTGTTATTGTAATTATTGCTACTATTAATTTCTGATGTTTATTCAGAAAAGGGCAGATTAACTTTTTCATAATCTCAAGAATGCAAAAACGATCTGCTGATTGACTTTTCTCAACAGACTTGTTCTTTTGCTGCAATGTATGGCTCAGTTCAGTGACCAACTGTTGACCTCATGTGATGGCAGGCCTAGTAGTGGTAAAATATTAGGTTCCAGTATGTCTATTGGACTGGTAGCCAAAAAGTTTTGGAACAAACTTGTTCATGTGCAGCAAACCATCCAGAAACTCCAGACTGAGGTAAGAATCATTAAAAAAAATTGGCAAATTTTTCTTTGATGTGTTTTCAGAATCATAAATATTGTTCTGTTAGGTATGTTGGCAAAAGTTGGGCTCTTAAAGTAAAAGAATGCATATTGAGATAAAAATAGACTTTGTAGGAATTGGATGGAACAAATTAATTCCCAAAATGTGGATACCTTCAGTAGTTGTGAAGAACAACTCCCCCAAAAAAATCTGTCGACCGACAGGAGGTCAACAGCTGCTAATCATAAATTGTATTATGTTATTTATTGTCCCAACTTCAGCAGACCTAGAGGTTACATGAGATGGGAAGGTGTATCCTCTGACAACCTGGCCAAGTTTAGCACACAACAATCCATTGCTTAATTTATAGTGGCCACAATGACCTAGCACTACATTTTTATATAGTTTTTGCTTACTTTCTCCTCATTTTTTGGGTACTGATTTGCTTGATCTTGTATTAAAAAACAAAAGATGAGAAATGACATATTGATCACCTTTGATAATTTCAACTTATGGAAGTTGATTTATGTTTTCTAGAGCAAAGCCAAAAACAAAACAATGTCCAAGATGGAAGACACGATAACAGATCTGCGGAGTGAGGTAAAACTCTTCAAGCAAGCATCAGATAAAAGATCAGGCAAATCTTCTGTTGTCCAAGGCAAAATTGAAAGCCAAAGTGCTAATAGGACTTCTGTGAAGTTCATTCTCTCTCCATCAGAGGAGTTATCTCTAGAAAGTTCTACACCCTCAAAGGAACTTACCCTTGCTGTAGAAGATGTTACTAATGCAAAGACTTATCACGAGTCATCAACACAGACTTATGACACTGCATTTATTCCATGTGAGGCTTGTGCTAGAACACAACAAAATCTTATTGAGGTTGGTAGCATGGTGATAAAAGTATGTGAATCTCAAGGACTTCCATCTTCGCTGGCAAAGCAGAAAAAACTCTTGCGGCAGTCGCTAATGGCTGCTGCTGATGTGTCCAGGTGGGCATCTGAACAGAGCCATGATCTTGCAAGAATTAATGATCACTTGGATAATTTGTATGCACAGATAAATCCACTGGAAGATAAACTTAGTAGGTCAAAACAAGTTTGTGCGCGACTGGAAAAGCAAATCCAAGACCTGGAAAAGCAGTTGTTAGATAAGGACAGTGAAGGTGAAAAGAAAGAAACGGACTTTAAAGAGAAGCTTAAACAAGTTGTTGCTGAGAAAGATCTGCTATTATCTGATGCAGAAAAAGTGAACAATGAACTTGTGAAGGGAAAAGATGTCCTTCAGGGTATGGTGCTCAAACTGGAGGAAAAGAAAAAGAAGTATAAAGAAACAGTTAAAACTCTAGGTAAGTATGCAAAGACGAATGACAAATTTACCAAGAGTTAAACAGCAAACAACATGGCTGATTTTGAAATAAGGAAACGAGATGTAGCCAGTTGACACAAGACAACACAGAAAATTGATCAGTGTGGCTTATTTCATGTTTTCTTTTCATCCAGGTGAAGAAAACAGCAGGTTGTTAACAGAGTTAGATAAGGAGTCTAAGGAGGTAGCAAGATTAACAGTGGTAGAGTCTGAAGTACAACAACTGAAGGTAGAAATGGATGACTTACAAGTCAAACTAAAAAACACTTCTATTGAATTGGGAAAAACACAGGCCAGGAACAAGACCTTGGAGAAACACGAACAGGTTAGATATGCAAGTTTCTATTGTTAGTGGAGGTGATAAGATTAACCACAGGTGTACATGTAACTCTTAAACTTATAGCTTGGATTTAATGTGAAAATGATGTTAGAAATCCAGGCTGGATGGATTTTATTTGAACTTGTGCATAGCCTTTTGGCTGGGGAAGCAGCTCTCTTAGTCCTCAGTTGGATGTGTGCCACAGAGTGCAAATGAGACCATAGCTTTTCTTTATTGAAGAAGTGTTGGCTCAGTTCTTTTAGTTCAGAGCTCTATATTGACAGTTCCTGGTTTTTACCCCTGGTTGGCTTTATGTGCAATATGCTGGGTTCAGGGTTGATTTAGAAGGAGCTCATACTTGATGATGTAGAAACAGGGATAAGGTTGTAGCAGCCAGCTGTTTTAGTGAGTCTCGTGTGCAAACATTGATTTAATTTACTTCCTGAGGCTTTGCAAAGCAAACATGATGCACTTCTTAAAAGAGTCGATAATCTGGACAATGAATGTGAGGAGCTGCGTGACAGAGTGCTTGAGGCGGAAGGAGAGAGAGATGAACTGCAAGGAGTGATGGAAGGTTTGCAAACTGAAAAGACAAATCTCTCTGAAGAGCTTGATTCCAAGCAGGTAATTTGTGGCATTTTGTCTTTTGTGTTAGTGGCTTTGGTTAAAATTATTTTGTCACTCTGTGCTGGGTGTTAAGTTTAATTCTCTGTAAGTGGCCAGTTCTCTGTAGCAGGCACTTTTCATAGGCCTCAGGGTGTGGCCATAAGCAAAAGGTGAAATAAAGAAAGGGAGAGTTTCCTATTCGTGGTCATCTACAAAATTATTCAACAATGCACCTCATTTTACGCCAAATTGTCGGCCACGGTTAAAATTTGAAAACTTGGAACACAACACTAAGTACCTCCCTTTCTGTTTCTACACAGAACCTTCTGGAAGAACTTAGACTTGAAAAGGAAAAACTTCTGCAAGAAGTGGAAGAATTTGAGGCAAAGACGAACGAACTTGAACAGCAGCTGAAAGAAAGCGAAGAAAAACTTCAACTCGTGGTAGAATTTCCATCCATTGATTCCAAACAGCAGAAATCTTCCTCGTCAGACAAAGAGGTGATGTTTAATGGGGAAGTTCCTTCAGAAGCAGAGGTAGCTAAAGATATGGAGAGACAAGTTATGGCCAACAATATCAGAATTATGACTCTTGAGGAACAAAATGAAAAGTTGAGGAAGTCTATATCTTTCTTGATGAACGCTCGAGAAAACATCTCCAAGAAGAAGGTAAGTGGAAGACAATACTAAACAGTCTCCATCTCCCTCGACGCAAACTCCCAAAGATTTTCCTCGAATTTCGTGTGAATGGGATAATTTGGTCTTGTCAACAAAATTGTTAATGTAAATTGGCCACCATGAATAGTTTCTAAAGCTAACGTTTTGAGCGGTAGCCCTCGTTCTCTCTCAGTGCGAAGAACGAACGGCTTCGTTAAAATGACTAATAAAGAATGTCGCATGCGATTAATTTATCATATCCGAAAATACACTTACCTACCTCTTGTGGTTGCACGTGTTTTGTCAGTTGTTTTTTCTTGGCAGCTGTTGTCGCGACTTGACGATCAAAACTGATGGAGTAATTGTTCGTTTGAAAGTGGAAAAACAAGAACTTTTTCCCTTTTCGGTTTTCCTTGAATATTTTCTGTGATTGGTTAAAACTCTTGTTATCTTACTCAACCAAATCATCCCGGCAAAATCAATCCACTCGCTACTTAGTCACACGCGTCTTGTTTTCCCGCGCTTTGCATCGGTCATGTGAATTTTCTTTACGCTTCTATTGGTTAATCGCACAGTCATCTTCGTTGTGATAGGCTGTTGTAAATGCCTTAGTGTTGTGTCCCTCCCTTATTGCACTTCCTATTACATGATAGGCTCATTAACATTCAAACAGCTTACCACGTTCTCTCGTTCTCTCTCAATGTTTCCAACTTTCTTTCCAAACTGTCAAAAATTCGTAATATTTTTTAGGTACAAGAACCTGTTCCATTGTGGAAGCAACACAGTGACGAACCAGGACTAATAGAAGATCAGAGAGAGTTACTCAGAAGGTTCTGTTTATTAAGTAATATTACAGATCTCAAAAGCAAGTTCACGACAATATTTAGCTTGGAATTATTGTAGCGAACTGATTGTTTCTTTCCATGTCAAATTCTTGTTTTTGATACTTTGTAATAGCAGCTCTTACCGCCATACTTTACTTTTTTTTCAAAAAAGTTGTCTTTACAGTAAACCCATGTTGTAACTGATAAAGCTTTTTCCCTTGAACGTCTTTTTCCATTCGCAGGTCTCCTGTGCAGAATTTTTATGAAGGAAACCCAAATGTTTCTCACAAACGCCCTGCATCTGCCATAAGAGAAGGACAGTGGTCGAACTCAGACCACTACATGTCAAACCAAATACAGCCCCGCCCACCTGAGAAACCTAGAGCCCAGTCCGCGAAGACAAGGACGAAGGCAACAACCTCAAGATTTGCCGAGACTAAACAAAGTGCTTCATTGAGTGCGAAACTTGCTGCTAGCGGGAAACATGCAACCGGCATTTTGGGAAGACTAGCAGAAGGACACACACTGAGACATGAATGGGAACATTCTCCTGCCCCTACCCTGGACGTAACAGCCCGTGAGGGGAGGGTTGGGCGTGAAATTGGACGCACGAGCCCTACCTCGACACGGTACACGCCTATGAACGTGTTTGTTTGTATGAGTTGTGATAAGATGTACAACACTCAGAAAGATTTGGATATCCATAAATCTTTTTGTTACGGTGCAGTGAATGAAAACTACACGTGACCAACTAAGCGTTATGACATCATTTAATACGTGCAAAGAATTTATTTGGAGCTATTAAAAGGATATTGAAAAGATTTGAGATAGAATGATTAAAGTAACTCTTAAATGCAAACCATTATGTCCCCACTATTGATTCTTTAATATATTTTGTTGAGTTTTAAAAGGATATTGAAAAGATTTGAGATAGAATGATTCCACTAACATTATGTCCCCACTATGAACTGAGTTTTGAGGTTGACGCAAAGGTTCCACTTATGTCTTCTCAAAGTTGACCCAAAGCCATGTTCTCAAAGCATGAATGAAGGCAACTTTATCTTATTACAGTTTAAGGTTATCTTGAACCTCTCGCGGTGCTTTTCCGAAAAAATCGCTATTTTTCGCGTCGGTAAGGTTTCAATGGAAAACTATTTTAAAGTCATACAAGACGATCTAAGATCGTAAGTCGGGCTACAGGTAGACGCGCTTTTACAAGTGTTGACCATTCACGGTGCGCAGTGGTTCTAAAAGAAACACAGAGGTACCATGGTCCTGGTTTGTGGGCGTGGTGTAAAATTTTTTCACCACTGTCACATATTTTTGGTGCAATACCCTGACAGGTATCACAGAGGCTGCTGTTGTGGACCTTTTGAGGCTGGACAGCCCAAGAGGTACTAAACCCGCCCTTTTTAACCTCTAAAAGCTATGATGAGCACCTCTGTTCCTTTCTAACAAAGCGTAGTCAGAACGGGTCAATTTTTCTTGTGTTTGTTCAAGCGTGAAATATTCAACTTTGTCTAGACCAACTGTCGCGCTTCATCATTTACAGTTATGGGAAATCCGTGCTGTCAAGCACCGACTTAAATTTGAACGCGCGAGAAGGCTATACAAACGACGTTAAGCAGGATTTGGGCGGAAAATAAATCTTGATTAAAAGTAGTATGTACGTGCAGAAACATAAACACGGTCAATTGACGGTATGGACACAAACTTGCATGTTTCACGCTTGAACAAATACGTAAAAGCTGAATACTGTAAACAAAAATACTCCTCGTGGCACGTTTAAAATTTCGAAACTTTTTACTTGTTTACGTTTCCAGGAAGCTTTAAAACGGCAGCCGGCTGTTATTTTGAACCCTGAAGATAATACCGGAAAACGATGTAGATCAGAGTATTCAATCATGTTTGCTTACAGGGCTGATTACTGACTTATCTTTCAGGCTGATAAAAGAAATGCTAATCGAGTGACACTGCTATCTGCTAAAAAAATTCATACGTTTTTAAAGATTCCCGCTTTCAAAGATTCTCCATTTTGAAGATTCCCGCGTTTAGAGATTCCCTGTTTTAAAGATTCCCGCTTTTAAAGATTCCCGCTTTTAAAGATTCCCGCTTTTAAAGATTCCCGCTTTTAAAGATTCCCGCTTTTAAAGATTCCCCCTTTTTGCCCCCGGAGGGTTTTTGGCCCCAGAGGGCCAAAAACCCGAGGAGGTACCTTAGGACTCCCCGCGTAATATAGAGGAAGACTGGAGAAGAGAGAATGTAGGTATTTTTGGTAAATCGTAACCAGGAAAAATCTCGATTTGATCGCTTGCACGGCCGCAAAGTATCAACGTTTTTCCCGCAAATGGTCATGGGCGGCCAGCAAAAAGACACGCGCGCGAGGACTTTTGGGATCGGCGTCTTTGACACGAGCTTTATCCTTGTCGAGATTTCGAGTTAAGCGTCCCTGAAAAGCGTCGAGAAGCGTTTCCAAGTCCAACGGTAAGAGTGTATAGCATCTTTCTAACAATTAAAGGTAGTTTTGAGTTTAAAAGGTGATCAAAATGCCTCAAAAGAGAAACAGTTGTGTGAAGTCTCGATCGAAGGGGGCGGAGGGTCCACAGCTCAGTCGGCTAACATGAGAACTTAAAGCAAAGAACTTGCAGCATAATTAAAGTATAACCAGATATCAAATACATGAAAAAGTTGAGCTTCTAACTCGTTTGCTTTGATGTTGGATTATTCTCAGAGTTTTAGAGCTTCTTCGGTCGGAGTCCACGCGACCTTCAAAGTGTGAAAAGCGCGGAGAGTACTTTTTTGTGCTTTAAAGCTGTCTTGACTCATTTGTGTTATACAGAAGTTAAAACAGAAATAATTTCACCGATGCTCAGAAGACAGTGTAAGTTTAGCATTTTGACCGAAAGACTCGGTTAACTCCGATTTGTCAGCCGCAAATCAAGCTTATTGCACAAAGCCGAAAGACTCGGCAATTTCTGGATTTGTCAGAGGCAAGTCTGTTATTACTGGGTTACCTGTGGTAGCCCAGTCATAAAATACCTTTTTTTTTTTTTTGGTCGTCTTTTTACTGGAATACCTGTGGTAGCCCAGTCATAAAATGCCTTTGTTTTTTTGTCGTCTTTTTTTCTTTTTTTCCTCCGCCACAAAATGGAAAAAATTGCGCAATAGTACTCAGTGGTCATTGGGCCCTCAACACCATGACAACTAACTGTGATACAATGAGGGTGAAGGTGTTCACATGCGGATCACGTGTTATCTTGATGATGATTGACGTTGTCATGCACGGACAGGTCCGGGTCACATGACGAGCACGAGATTTTTGCTTAGAAAACTCTTTTGTCGGTCGTTTTATATTTCAACGTGTTTGGATTATGATCACCTGAAGCATTATAGCGCAAACGCTCGAAATACTTACAGACGCACACACAAGTCGTATTGTTGGCGTCCAATCCACACTAAAAGATGTTATTGAGCGGTAATTTTGGACCGGATTGAGTTGCGAACTGTGTATCCGTTGTAGTTTCTGGTGATTTCTGCCGTTTTAAGCTTGCTTTACCATCACTGTTATTCACATCATCTACTTTTATTACGTTGGTAAAATCTGTACAGACATCACACCAACCAACTCGCGCGCAAAGTAAGAACACTATATTGAAGGCTTGAAATTATATTACGATCAATTTTCATCAAGAAATGGGCCAGGAATTTTCCACAATAGTGCAAATAATCGTGAAGGCTGATCGCGGGAAAGCGATTGCGTGACGCTTGGTAAGCTGTAAGATGACATGTTATTATCTACCAGACGTAAAAACTCTTCAGATTCTCAGTCTGCATTTTGTACCCACTCTGCAGTCTGCAGTCAGGTATCCGTGGCACCAATATAGTTTATTTTTGGTTACATTTATTCGGACAACACATAATCTACCACAAAATACCTGTGTGTGAGATAATTCGACATTTTAGTTCTTTTCCGCGTTAATAATCTTCTTTCCTTTTGTAAGAATGTAGACCACTTACAATGTTTAAAGTAATCCACCCACCCTACAAAAAATAACTCTTGCATGCATAGCATGCCTATGTTTTGAAACAAGTGTATGCCCTTAGCCAGACTTGAGCTCACTATTTCAGTATACTAATCCGACACCCGTAGTATCACTGCGCAGTTCTTAATCAAGGGAAATGGACCTACATTGATGATCTTTGTGTAGGTGTTAAAGAATTCTGTACTTTAGCTGCTCTAAAAAGGCAGTTTTCAAAAGGGTGGTTCTTTGCAATTTATGAAGATAGCAACATGGTTTCCAAACCTGAATCATGTGGAATAGTTAATCAACAAATGAAATCCAATATAGATTTCACTGAGATACCCATTAAGAGAAGATGCTTTAAATCTAACATCAATTTTCAAACACCAGTTACACGCCACAACTATTATGAGGTGCTTACTGAAGAAAGTCATGCCATGCACATGTATCCTGATTCCAAAACTGAAATAAAGCAGTCTAAGCAACAAAATATCTTTAAAACAAAGGAGGCAAAGAAACAAAAAACTAAACGTTCAAAGCTAGAAAAAAAGAAAAAGGCAAAGTTAGACTCAACAGTGGAAAGCAATTGCAACAGTACAATAAAAACACCCGCAAATGTCTCAAGTACAACTAAGCAATCTGCCTCAACCAATAGTTTCCCTTTATACAAAGTTGCAACAGAAAATGGTGAGTTGTTGAACAGTCAAATTACGCAATCTGCCTTGCCATATATAAATTTGCTAATATGCAACATATGATGCAATGATTGCATAATACTTATAAAAGGAGATTCAAAATTTACCAGCTGCCTTCAATCAATCCAAACAAAGAATCATTTTGAGCAAATAATATACCTGATGTTAAGCAAAGTTTACATAGAAAATGTTTCTAGCATTTTCATAAATAAGTTAACAAAATATAAAATAAACATTTTTTTTTTCAGGCTTTACTGGATATGTACAAAGAGTAGACCGAAATCGAAAAAGCCAGCAAGGATTTACATATTACTTCGACATCATTCTGCAGACGGCAGTAGACCAAACGTAGATGATAAGAATAATGATAAGTTCTATGGATGACATCACGAAAAGCCAGCTTTTCAAAGACAAACAAAAAGCACAACAGCCCATCACCATATCCAGCCTTAGGGTTGTTCAGAGTGGCATGGTGTTTATGTACCAGAAAAGCATTGTTAAGGATGTCTCCACGATGGCCATTCCATTCAAATATGTACCACCAGCAGCACCACCCATTACATATGTAGCAGATGTTTTAAAAACTAAGAGGCAAGGGGATATGGTCACAGTCTCAGGCTTAATTCGATGGGACAGTGAAGCTTCAACACCACAAAACTCTAAACGACCAGTAAGAGATGGTAAATTAGTAGACTCAACAGGAACTATAGATATTTCAATTTGGTCAGACCACATTTCTCTGATCAAGGAAATGGATTTCTTTGAGATCTCCAACTGCACTGTAAAGTACTACTATGGGTTGAAAATCAGTACCACTACAGAAACCATCATAAAGCCAGCCGAGAAGCAAAATATTACCAACGTAAATACAGATGCAACTGCTATCAAGCCTCAAATCTGCTGCCCAGAAATACAAAATGTCATCATTGACACTAATGCAATGTGCAACACCAAAGGATGTAAGAGCAAAATCACAGGAAACACAGAATCTAAAGTTATGGTTTGTTGCACAGCCTGCAACAGAGCAATG